GGCCAAATAGCATTCTAGTTTGCTCTGTTTTTTTGTTAATTCTTTCCAATGTGTCAAGTAATTCTCTTTTTGTTTTCTCATGATTTGGTTGGGTGTAATTGTGTTGCTGTCCTGGGGCTCTGTGGGGTCTGTTTTTGTTTGTGAACAGAGCCCCAGGACCAGCTTGCTGAGGGGACTCTTCTCCAAGTTCATATCTCTGTAGGTGATGGCTTTGTTATGGAAGGTCTGGGAATTGCTTCCTTTTAGGTGGTTGTAGAATATAACGGCTCTTTTCTGGATTTTGATCATTAGCGGGTATCGGCCTAATTCTGCTCTGCATGCATTATTTGATGTTTTACGTTGTACACAGAGGATATGTTTGCAGAATTCTGCATGCATAGTCTCAATTTGGTGTTTGTCCCATTTTGTTAATTCTTGGTTGGTGAGCAGACCCCAGACCTCACAACCATAAAGGGCAATGGCTTCTATATCAGATTCAAGTATTTTTTGCCAGATCCTAATTGGTATGTCGAATTTTATGTTCCTTTTGATGGTATAGAAGGCCCTTCTTGCCTTGTCTCTCAGATTGTTCACAGCTTTGTGGAAGTTACCTGTGGCGCTGATGTTTAGGCCGAGGTATGTATCGTTTTTTGGTGTCTAGATGGAATTTGTATTTGTGGTCCTGGCAACTGGACCTTTTTTGGAACACTATAATTTTTGTCTTACTGAGATTTACTGTCAGGGCCCAGGTCTGACAGAATCTGTGCAGAAGATCTAGGTGCTGCTGTAGGCCCTCCTTGGTTGGGGACAGAAGCACCATATCATCAGCAAACAGTAGACAGAGCCGTTATTTATACTTCTGAAAAAAGAAAAACACTAACATTTACAACTGATTTACTGTTGGGCAAAATACAGTTTCAATACAGATACAAGTAAAACCACTGGGTGAATAAGACATTTTCTAATGGATTATGTGTTAATTGAGATTAGCATGAGCATAATGCTATGTAAATGATGACGCACTACACTGGGTAGTGCTGCTGGGGGACACCATGTTTACACCAGGCTTTTTACTAGATCATGACCCAGAGGCTGCACTGGCGACCACAGATGACTGTTTTAGGTCCTTCATCATCTTATTTTAGTCATTCCACGGCCTTTCTGACGGCTGACAAGCCCAGGATTACATAACCCATGGTAAGTAACTGTCTGCCACAGATTTAGGAAACATCACAGAAAGATGGATTTCACTGGATTCAATTAGGTGGAACAGATATGTCTGATATAACAGTGTAATAAGCCTTAAGAAACTATATGATTACTTATTGGATTACTTTTGAATTCAGAAAGGATCTTCACCTTTCTGTTTTCTCAATGACATTCAATTCAGCATTGAAAAAAGGCACAAGTTTACGTTTGTTCCACCTGTGTGAGTCTGACCAAACGTCAGAGACCACTGAAATGCATTTGATAGATCCTTTTTGTCTTCTTCTAATGCCTCTTAAGGGGAAAGTAAATCAAAAGGAATGGAAAGTAGTCAGATTACGTTAGTGAGTTTGGGTAATCCAAAAGTTTTGTTACTGATTACAATTTTGGACAGGTAACTAGTAACTGTAACGGACTACATTTAGAAAGTAACCTACCCAAACCTAAATAGGCCCTTCAGTCTATCAAGAGAATAAACATCAATGCAATGCATTTTTCTCTCCCAGGCACATGGGGGGTCAAATGCATCTAAATGCAAATTCAAGTGATTTCCTGCATCACATTTGGAAAAAAAGACAAAGTGTTGCTTTGTAGTTGCTCTCAGCATGTAAATGTATTTTTTGGGATAAAGAAATGATCAGGATAAGTATCTAAACTATTTTCTGTTTTTCAGAAAGCAAAAAATAAATGTTGTTTTGAGATATTAGACAGACTGTAACTTTGACTGGTTGCTTACATTAGTTTCTCTACCATCCATTTCCTCTAAAGTGGGTGTGACACTTGTCCCTGTCAAGGAAGTGCCCTTCTCTACAGAATGGCCTGCCAGATAGGAATCTAATAAAATCCTATCTCTATACCTGAGTATGTTGTAACTCTTTTGGCAACTCGCGTAAATTGGAAATACTCTGACAATAGTAAGGTATAAGAGCATGCATTGCATCACCTAACTCTCCCTTAAGAAACTCTTTATTAACCCAAAAGGAGGTGCTTGACTTAAAGTCTGTCTGAAGGTCTCTTGTGTGTGTTCAGCATACTGTAACGCTGACCACATCTTTCAGTTATGCAAAGTTCTGTTTCTAATTGCTATTAAACAAATGTGCTTTTGACCTCAAGGACCAGTGCAGCTCAATTCATCTGCATTTGACCCAGAGCACAGTGCACTCTGGGAATTTAATATACCAGCGCTGCTCAAGTTTCATCCTCCCATGGCAGAGAGGGCATCTTTGGCCTGCATGAAGCCTCTGATCCTGGCTAGCTGTTGGAGACATCCTGTTGGTCCACCTGGAAGTCATTGTGAAGATCACATTCAAATGTAAGAGGATATCAAACACCTTGTTATTGCAGTACTGACATTTTCTATAAAGTGTGCACTGACTATGAACTGGCCATCTGTAGTAAATGTGATTTTGGAATCCATAAACATCTAAGCACTAGATGGCGCCACAATACATAAAAAGACAAAAAATGAAACTTCCCATTATTTTAATGTTGTAGGCCAGAACAAAGTGAAATATCCCTATTGTGCCATGGAAAAAGAGTGTTGGGTGAATGATTATTGAAGGGCTCTGTTGTCCCTGTTTAAATGGAGACTTTGTATTAGATAAGAGCTTAAGTCATTCTTTCAACTTTCTTTCACAGATTATTGAAAGAATAATAGTCTGCAAGGCCACCTTAAAATGAAACATTGATGTATGATCCAAATAATCTATCAAAATACTGGCAATTTTCTCTGTTGGATGAAAAAGTCCATCAATACTCATTACATTTCCCTTTACCATTGAACTCAGATGTCTAGTTTCAGAGGAAGTTACTGCACTCTTAGAAAAAAAGGTTCTGGATATATATTGTCTTGCCCATTCATCCGCTGAATGGCACACATACACAATCCATGCGCAGTGGTCTAAGGCACTGCATCTCAGTGCTTGATGCGTCACTACAGACCCCCTGGTTCGATTCCAGGCTGTATCACAACCGGCCGTGATTGGGAGTCCCATAGGGCGGCGCACAATTGGCCCAGCGTCGTCCGGGTTTGGCCGGTGTAGGCCGTCATTGTAAATAATAATTTGTTCTTAACTGACTTGCCTAGTTAAATAAAGGTTAAATAAAAAATTTAAAAAAAATTCTCAATTGTCTCAAGGCTTAAACATCCTTCTTTAACTTGTCTCCTCCCCTTCATCTACACTGATTGAAGTGGATTTAACAAGTGACATCAATAAGGTATCATAGCTTTCACCTGGATTCACCAGATCAGTCTATGTCATGGAAAGAGCAGATGTTCCTAATGTTTTGTGCACTCAGTGTATAGAACCCTTTTGTAGGGTTCTTCTTCACTGAACCCAAACTGGTTCCATATAGAACCCTTGGGTTCCATATAGGGTTCTATATGGAACCAATTTCGGTTCTATATAGAACCTTAAGGGGTGCCATATATGATGCAAGAATATAACTATTTTTGGTTCAATCCAGATCCTTTTTCTCTAAGCATGCTGTACAAAGGTTGCTGCTCGTTTTGAACGTAGCCTTATGTTTTGTACTTTGGTGTTTCTTTTTCAGTGTTGTTTCAGTGATTTTCATCACATCACAATTGTAGGCCCTACTTCTATTTGTATTTACGTTTCAGTTTTTGTTTAGCGCCTAAGGAACTTAACTATTTGTCAATAAACACAGATCAAGATACACTACCGTTCAAAAGTTTGGGGTCACTTACAAATGTCCTTGTTTTCTAAAGAAAAGCAAAAATGTTTGTCCATTAAAATAACATCAAATTGATCAGAAATACAGTGTAGACGTTGTTAATGTTGTAAATTGCTATTGTAGCTGGAAACGGCTGATTTTTAAAGGAATACATAGGCGTACAGAGGTCCATTATCAGCAACCATCAGTCCTGTGTTCCAATGGCACATTGTGTTCGCTAATCCAAGTTTATCATTTTAAAAGGCTAATTGATAATTAGAAAACCCTTTTGCAATTATGTTAGCACAGCTGAAAAAATAGATTTTCTGTCGAAAACAAGGACATTCCTAAGTGACCCCAAACTTCTGAACGGTAGTGTACATAAAAAGGAGCATTCTTCAGCGGTGCAGCAAGAATTCAAATGACATGGTCACAAATAGGAACTAATTTGTATTTCTGACCAGGATTTTGAGATTATCCTTATCAGATTTTTCAATGACACTCAGTTAAAATAACTTAATGTTTTTTCGGGAAAACAATAACCATTATGACACAAAACCAGTGTGCATTGATACAAAATTCATGCAAAGCACATACTGTACTATGTACTCTTTCTAAGGGTTATATTATGTTGTTATATGATATTTATGTGTTTGTCTATGAGCTAATTGTCTCAGTATAGGTCGGTGTATCATGGCCTTTATGAATTGTGATGAATGTGCGGACTTCAAGACAACGACTCTCCTTCTCTTGGCCCTGGTCCTGAAATGTTGTTCTTATGGGAGTGTTTGTATCTGCGCGCACACACACACGTATTCACCAGCCCTCCTGTGCTGTATTGTGCCGTTTGGCATGACAGTGTGGTATTATTCTAGGCTTTGTAATGGCCTGTATTGTTTTCCAGTAGGGTCTTTTGTTGTGTTGGAGGGCTATGGTGATGCTGCAGGGGCAGGTTTGTGCTGACGCTGGCCTGTAGGGATGACAGGGCCTGATATGGCTGAATGAGTGGTCCAGAGAGAGAGAGAGGGAGCAAGAGAGAGAGTCAGCAGCAAAGCAGCTCAGAGATGGAGTAGGACCTGTGCACATACACACTCTTACACACATTCTTAATAACAACGCCTTGCTCCAACTGAAGCGCAGCCATGCAGGAATCTCCTGGCTCTATTGGTGTGGATGGAGGTTATGCCAGTAATGTGCCTGCCTTCCTCACCAAACTGTGGACCCTGGTAGAGGACCCGGACACCAACCACCTCATCTGCTGGAGTTCTGTGAGTACCGGAAGCACTGACTCTTCTGATTGGTAAAGTTGGTTAAAGAGAGTCAGAGGTCTTTAGGTCTTTCCTACAGTTGAATATATTTCATGTGTTTGAAAGAAATTACAAGAATGAGAAGATAAGTAATGGTTAGGTGCAGTGGCAAGATACTACTTGTCTATTACTCATAGTTCTATGTTTGACTATCAAATTAATTGGTTATCGTGACTGTTTATACCCGGGTTGACTGAAAAGTGGATGTGTTTAAACCTTTGGTTAACCCAAAACATGTGCCTTGCATTCATCGGCAGCATTAGATAGATCTGGAGGGGAAACGAGGAAATGTCTTCCAGTGTTGTTCCCTTTATAAACTAAGGGGTATCATCAAAAAGTATGATTAGTACTGATCATATCAGTATTGTCTTACACATCTTCACAGTGTAAGGACTGGTGAATGAGACCACATACTAAGCAACCCTTGACATCTTTATCTTTGTACCTGTTTGTGTTACTGTTATGCCCAAGACTCCACAATCTGGCTTACAGAATCCTCAAAATGTAAGTGAGTAACCATCTTTGAGAATATCATGACTTCATCATGTTCATGAACTGTTTTTGCTTACTCAACTCATATGGGGATAGAAATATTGACTTTAACAACCTTTTCAAAATCATGTGGCCAACCTGTTTACCACTTAAAGAATTTGCTATTGGAATATGACAAAAGTCCATAAACTTGGCATTGATTTACTGTTTAAGAGGTGTGGGTACAGTTTGCTGGTAAATAGTTTTTTTAAATAAACTAGGATATGCACATTTCTCAGAACAGATGTTATATGGACTTATTGGTATAAATTAAATAATACACTTCCTACTTGATCAACCTTCACAGGATTTATAGGACTGAGCATTTTATGGTTTTGACATTGGACTAGTTTCCCGGACACCCTAGACCTGGACTAAAAAGCATGCTCAATGAAGAATCTCCATTGAAAGTGCCTTTTGGTTCCTTTAACTTGTCCGGGAAACTGGCCCTGAATGTTGAATTTAGGTAGTCAATGTCCAACCAGTGGTTCATAGAACTTAAAGACAAACCCCTATTTTGGTTATGTCCCTCAGACTGGGACCAGCTTCCATGTGTTCGACCAGGGCAGGTTTGCCAAAGAGGTGCTGCCAAAGTACTTCAAACATAACAACATGGCCAGCTTTGTCCGTCAGCTCAACATGTGTGAGTACCTCTCCTCAGCACTAGAAAATAGACAAATACCCTGTCAGATATTTAGCAGTATTTAGAAGTCAATTGTGTAGGAGTGACTTTTGTATTGTTTATGTGTAAGTAGGCTATGCATTAATTTGTGTATTTGAGTGTTTGAGCCTCTGGGTGTGTGTGTGTGTGTGTGTGTGTGTGTGTGTGTGTGTGTGTGTGTGTGTGTGTGTGTGTGTGTGTGTGTGTGTGTGTGTGTGTGTGTGTGTGAGTTGCTGTGTGCCGCTAACCTTTGGACTGATGTGCAGATGGCTTCAGGAAGGTGGTGAACATAGAGCAGAGTGGTCTGGTGAAGCCAGAGAGAGACGATACAGAGTTTCAGCACCTCTACTTCCTGCAAGGCCACGAACACCTGCTGGAGCACATCAAAAGGAAGGTGAGACAGAAACCTAGGAAACAAAACACACACTCACACACACACACACACACACACACACACACACACCAACAAAGTACACATAGTAAGACCTCTGTGTGTGTTTGTCTGTGTGTTTAGGTCTCCATCGTGAAGAGTGAAGAGACTAAAGTACGCCAGGAGGACTTGAGTAAGCTGCTGTATGAGGTGCAGGTGCTGCGCAGCCAACAAGAGAACATGGAGTGTCAGATGCAAGACATGAAACAGTAAGTAGCAATGTGTGCTGATACACAGCATCAATCATAACTACAACGACAATGCGCTGTATGACTCATGCTAAATCAATAAAAGTACCATAATCAGTGCTGTAGATGTTTTAATGCTATAAAAAATGTGGTTAGAGGCCACTGAACTGGGACAAAACTAACCATACTAAGCCATATTGTATGTAACATAGTCCATCCTCAATAGCCCATGCATTGTCCCTGGCCTCATTGTATGTTCCAATGGTTTAGTCTATTGTCTACATTGGTTGAAGAGAACATTCAGCTGCTCACCTGACTGTTGCGCCCTATAATAGCATCAGGTGTGCTGGTCAGGTGGTGCATGTGTCAGGTAGCAGTACAGGTGGTCTTGTCACGTGTCTATCTGATCTGGAATCTGGCTGAGCCCTCATATAGGACACATCAGGGTGAACAGGCTGAAATCAGAGCATCGCCCAGTCACACCATGTAATCACACATATAGATCACACACATGGGACGTGCGGGGTGGTGAGTGAGGAGGTTGATAGTAAAGTGGTGAATGTCACAGTGATCTGTCTTACTCCTCCAGGCAGAATGAGGTGCTGTGGAGAGAGGTGGTCTCACTGAGACAGAACCACACCCAGCAGCAGAAAGTCATGAACAAGGTGAGAACCTCTCAGTTAACATGACTATACAGTGTGTGTGTGTGTGTGAGTGTGTGAGAGAGAGAGAGAGCCTGTGTGTGTGTGTGTGTGTGTGTGTGTGTGTGTGTGTGTGTGTGTGTGTGTGTGTGTGTGTGTGTGTGTGTGTGTGTGAGAGAGCGAGAGAGAGCCTGTGTGTGTGTGTGTGTGTGAGAGAGAGAGAGAGAGAGAGCCTGTGTGTGTGTGTGTGTGTGTGTGTGAGAGAGAGAGCCTGTGTGTGTGTGTGTGTGTGTGTGTGTGTGTGTGTGTGTGTGTGTGTGTGTGTGTGTGAGAGAGAGAGAGAGAGAGAGCATGTGTGTGTGTGTGTGTGTGTGTGTGTGTGTGTGTGTGTGAGAGAGAGAGCCTATGTGTGTGTGTGTGTGTGAGAGAGAGAGAGAGAGCCTGTGTGTGTGTGTGAGAGAGAGAGAGAGCCTGTGTGTGTGTGTGTGTGTGTGCGAGAGAGAGAGAGAGAGAGAGAGAGAGAGAGAGAGAGAGAGAGAGAGAGAGAGAGAGAGAGAGAGCCTGTGTGTGTGTGAGAGAGAGAGAGAGCCTGTGTGTGTTTGAATTAGAGAGAGAGGAAAAGAGAGAGAGAACAGGAAGTCAGTGTATTACTTTGGTACTGAATCATTCTCTGTGTTTTGCTCCTTTATAGCTGATTCAGTTCCTTTTCAGCCAGATGCAATCAAACACACCCAGTACTGTAGGAATTAAGAGAAAGCTGTGAGTACTCTGCCTCGCTTTGTAGTGCGTGCCCACACACACACACACACAAAGGCTAAGATTCACAATACATGCACTCAAAAACACACACACACTTGTATGTACATACACTCATTAACACACCATACTAACAATTCGACAATAGTAACACAAACACACGAACACATCAGTGGGAACGGCCAACTCAGCTGTATGTGCTCAGCTGACGCGTTGCACAATCCCAGCTAGGATGAATGGAGCTGAATGCTGAATCAGACCTACTGAGCCCTAAGCCCCTCACACACACACACACACACAATCACTCACCCACCCCTCCCATCCTCTCACACCCACACCACCCCACTGAACCAGGACGCATGACCCTCTACCCTCTATGGGAAATGCACCATCAGCTTGTGTGACCCGTGTGAACAAATCGGTCAAAGTCAAAGAACAAGGCACAGTGACATAAAACACTCAAATTTTCTGTCACATCCATACCGCCTAAAGATTTAGAACTGACATCACTTTAACTGGACATTTTTCATATCTGTTTATACCGTTTCCAATAACATTCATAACACTGTGCCATAGCTGTGCTCTACAATACAATTTATGCTGTCATTGTGCCCCGCTGTTGGTGGTTAGTAATGGTACACTCTTAGAAAGAAGGGCTCCAAAAGGGTTCTTTGGCTATCCCCATAAGAGAACCCTTTTGGGTTCCTTGTAGAACCCTCTTTGGAAAGGGTTCTACATGGAAACCAAAATAGTTCTACCTAGAACAAAAAGGGTTTTACCCAGAACCAAAAAGGGATCTTCAAAGGGTTCTCCTATGGGGACAGCCGAAGAAACCTTTTAGGTTCTAGATAGCACCTTTTTTCTAAGGAGTGTAGAGATATTACTGATAGAGATATTACATTATGTGTACACTGCTTTGGCAAAATAGAAACAGCAGTGGTTGATATAAGATGAATGAAAGAAAATGATCAGAAATGTCAATTACATATTGTAATTCCTAACTTATTAACTTTTCTCAGTGGTCAAAAAGCAAGTGGGTGTTTTAAGGCCTACATGTTCGATACAAGCGTAACTTTATTGAACATGTAGTTTTTCAAAACTACCACTGCTTTCTCGACTCACCCTTCCAAGCCATCAGAAAGGTTACAGTTATTTCCCCTTATCCTCGGCTCTCATACAGTAAGGCTAAGCAGATACAGCTCTCTAAGTCTCTCAGTCTATAAATTATGAGTTTAGAGTTCTAAGGCATGTCATTGCAAAAGAGAAGAGAGTATTTCCCATTGATTTCTCTATATTCCCCCTCATGGTGATCCCTGGCCCTCCCAGTCCCCTTATGTTGGATGATGGCTCCACCACGCCCCCAGCCTCTAAGTTCAATCATAACCACCAAATGGAGCCCCTGCATGAGCATTTCTATATCCAGTCGGTAAGAAACCCACTCTACATTTTACATTTTTGTCATTTAGCAGACGCTCTTATCCAGAGCGACATTACAGGAGGAATTAGGGTTAAGTGCCTTGCTCAAGGGCACATCGACAGATTTGTCACCTAGTCGGCTCGGGGATTAGAACCAGCGACCTTTCGGTTACTGGCACAACGCTCTTAACCACTAAGCTACCTTCTGCCCCATACCTTTCACCATTACACTATTTCTACACCGTATGGTGCTAGTTGTACTGTGTTTACAGTTTCCATTTAGCATTGGGACATCATGACTATCATAGAAAAAAACGTTATATTTTTAACTGCATAGTGACTGTCAGACTGTGAGCTTCACAAACCTTTAATTAAACTCTATTACTGTTCCTTCTCCACAGCCATCAACAGAAACTGCCTCTTGCTCCAATAGTGCAATGACAGGAGGACCAATCATATCAGACGTTACTGAAATGTCACAACCCAGCAACTTGGCCATTCAAATGCAAACAGAGGAGACAAGGTGAGGGTCAAAGAACAAAAGCAAAGTCACATTTTATCCTGTAGTGGCTTCCAAAGCAACAAAATCCAGTATGTAGTCGAGATTGGATGAAATCTTTTGTTGAGAAGCCTTATTCAGCAGGACTGAAATAAACAGATAAGACTACTGTGTTTCTGTCCCCACACAGGGATAAGTGTATGATGCTGATCAAAGAGGAGCCAGTGAGCCCAGGGGTGAGGGGCCGGGGGGAGGGCGTCCCACTGGGCTCCTGTGAGGTGTGTTCTGAACCCCCCATCCTCCCTGTTGCCATGGTACAATCCGTCCTGGAGGGCCGAGGGTCTGGAGCAGACAGGAGGATCACGAGACCTGCTCTGGAGAGGTAGACATACACACGTCCATTCGTTTTCCAAGCTCAATAATAAGTTCTACATCGTTTTTATTATTACATATGAATGTATTGTTTACCAGTGAAGCCCTAGTAGTGTGATATGTGTGTTGTAGGCCAGAGGTACCTGATGCTGTAGAGAATGTGGACATGAGTCTGGAGGACCTGCAGCTTCTCCTGAGGACCCACCAGCAGAGTGTGGAGCCCACCGCTGCTGTCATGGATGTGAGTAATACCCTCCAAAACTTGGCAGACACAGAGTTTGTTCAAGTACTGTGTCACAAAGGCATGGGATACAAAATTACTGCAGGAAGAGATATAATACCTCCCATTTGAAGATCTCTAGTTTCTCTTCACTAGGTAGGAATGAGTCAGACAGTGATCCCAGCAGCTCAGATTGATATGACGCTGTTCTGTCTTTACAGCCATTCAATTTCAACCTGCCCTTGAGTGAGTGGAACTTTACTGATATGGAGTCCAATCTGAAATCAGTGAGTAGAATATGTTTATGGTGTTTGAATTAGCTCTGCATATATTGTCTTAAAGTCTAGTTATATTCAGTGAAATCAACCCGCCAGTAAAGTCAGCACAAGTTGTCAGTTACTGTGTCAGCCATACATTTCTGTGGCTTTAGTCAGACAAGGGCAGGTAATGGTCGAAAAATGTGTCAACAATATACCTTCTTACTTCTTGGGTAGATTAATCAGTGTGTGCTGTGCAGGTAGCGTCTCTGCAGTTAATTGAAAGTACTGGTCAGTGTTATCTTCAGGAGTATCTAATCCCCCCACTCTGTGTTGCTGTGTTCCAGTACATGTTTCAGAGCCAGGAGGCAGAGGCTTACCCCAACGCTGGTTGTGAGGAACAGTGACGGCTTGACAGATCAACTGGCACAGGCTTTTCCTGACAAAGGCAGGTACAGTATGTATATGGCACACACTCAGCTCCATCAATCATTGAATCAGATGGCTCATTCATCACAAAACCCACTGATATTGCCAATTACTTTAATGATTTTTTCATTGGCAAGATTAGCAAATTTAGGCATGACATGCCAGCAACAAAGGCTGACACTACACATCCAAGTATAACTGATCAAATTATGAAAGACAAGCATTGTAATTTTCAATTCCATAAAGTGAGTGTGGAAGAGGTGAAAAAAGTATTGTTGTCTATCAACAATGACAAGCCACTTGGGTCTGACAACTTGGATGGAAAATTACTGAGGATAATAGTGGATGATATTGCCCCTCTTATTTGCCATATCTTCAATCTAAGCCTACTAGAAAGTGTGTGCCCTCAGGCTCGAAGGAAGCAAAAGTAATTCCGCTACCCAAGAATAGTAAAGCCCCTTTTACTGGCTCAAATAGCTGACCCATCAGCCTGTTAAGTAAACTTCAGCCTGAAAAGTAAACTTTTGGAAAAGATTGTTTGACCAGATACAATTATATTTTACTGTAAACAAATCCACAACAGACTTTCAGCACGCTTATAGGGAAGGACATTCAACAAGCACAGCACTTACACAAATGACTGATGATTGGCTGAGCGAAATTGATGATAAAAAGATTGTGGGGGCGGTTTTGTTAGACTTCAGTGAGGCTTTTGACATTATTGATCCTAGTCTGCTGATGGAAAAACATATGTGTTATGGCTTTACACCCCCTGCTATATTGTGGATAAAGAGTTACCTGTCTAACAGAACAGAGGGTGTTCTTTAATGGAAGCCTCTCCAACATAATCCAGGGAGAATCAGGAATTCCCCAGGGCAGCTGTCTAGGCCCCTTACTTTCTTTCAATCTTTACTAATGACATGCCACTGGCTTTGAGTAATGCCAGTGTGTCTATGTATGCGGATGACTCAACACTATAAATATCAGCTACTACAGCGAGTGAAATGACTGCAACAGTTAACAAAGAGCTGCAGTTAGTTTCAGAATGGGTGGCAAGGAATAAGTTAGTCCTAAATATTTCCAAAACTAAAAGCATTGTATTTTGGGACAAATCATTCACTAAACCCTAAACCACAACTAAACTTGTAATAAATCATGTGGAAATTGAGCAAGTTGAGGTGACTAAACTGCTTGTAACCCTGGATTGGAAACTGTCATTGTCAAAACATGTTGATACAACAGTAGCTAAGATGGGGAGATGTCTGTCCATAATAAAGCGTTGCTCTGCCTTTTTAACAACACTATCAACCAGGCAGGTCCTACAGGCCCTAGTTTTGTCGCACCTGGACAACTGTTCAGTAGTGTGGTCAGGTGCCACAGAAATTACAAACTGGCTCAGAACAGGGCAGCACGGTTGACCCTTAAATGTACATGGAGAGATAACATTAATAATATGCATGCCAATCTTGCATGGCTAAAAGTGGAGGAGAGATTGACTTCCTCACTACTTGTTTTTGTAAAAAGTATTGACATGCTGAATGCACCGAGGTGTCTGTTTAAACTACTAGCACACAGCTCGGACACCCATGCATACCCCACAAGACATGCCACTAAAGGTCTCTTCACAATCCCCAAGTCAACAACAGACTATGGGAGGCTCACAGTACTAGATAGAGCCATGACTACATGGAACTCTATTCCACATCAGGTAACTGATGCAAGCAGTAGAATCAGATTTTAAAAAACAGATAAAAATACACCTTATGGAACAGCGGACACACACACACATACACATAAGACACGCACTCTACACACACGTAGGCATGGATTTTGTATTGCAGATATGTGATAGTAGAGTAGTGGCCTGAGGGAACACAATGTGTTGTGAAAAGTGTTATGCAATGTAATGTAATGTAACATTCTAAATTGTATATAACTGCCTTAATGTTGCTGGACCCCAGGAAGAGTAGCTGCTGCCTTGGCAGCAGCTAATGGGGATCCTTAATAAATACAAATACACACAGCCATATCTCTTACTGGATTTGTGCAAAGTTGAATGATGATTCTATGGGCAGCTCAGTTTGTGTGTAACAATAACAGCTAATATTGACTTTTCTTTCTTTTGCGTCTCCTTTTCAGGCCAGAAATAAGACATTCCTCAAGGCTCTCAGATTTGTTCCATCCCCAGTCGTCATGTCTTAGATCTAGCCCACCTGACCCAATGTGAGCAGAGCAGGAGGGATTCTTGTCACTCAGAGCTCTGTGGGCCTACCTTCCATCCACTAGGATGTCAGTTCTGGGGAATTTTCTTCAGAAGCACTGTATGGCTTTTCAGAGAACCAAAGTTTAATCTATTTGGAATTATTCAGACTTCTTTCACTGAAGTTCAACAGTTTTACTGGTGGGGACTCTGGCAGTTGTCACTTCAAAGGCTGATCCGCAGGACATCCTGACATAAGCAATGGCTTCTCTCCTAAAGCTGGACTGATCTACAGTCGGAGTGTCTGACTGAGGGATCTCAATTCATGAAAGACCAACCGACCAGTTGACATTTCAAGGATGAATTCCTAGCACAAAAGTGGAGTTTGGAGTATGACCGGCACTATTACGAAGTTCCAATATTCTCTGCCATCATGCCAGCGGTAGTATGAAAAGTTGCATCATACCACGGTGGCCCAGGTTTGTAAGCACTTTAGTCTCTGTGAGAGTTTCTGCTTGTGGAGCTGATTTTTTTTCCTAAATAGCATATTTGGTTGTATAGAAATCATATTTTCATTATATTCTTATGGAAAATACTATATTTGTATTTCAAAATGATATTCATAAGATAACAGAAATAGTGTTACTTATCTTCTGTATGTTTTAATGTGAGAGGTCTAGGAAATATTTGATGATAGACTTCCCATTTGAAAAAACAATGAAGACACCATACATTGCTTTTTTGCACAATTTGTATCACTATTTATTCTTAATCACAATCCATATATTTATCTTGAAACACTCAGTGCTTTTCCTGTGCACAAGAGTAACCTTTGATATTTATCAAGTTGTCTATGATGACTACTAGGCTGTATATAATATAATGCATACATTAGTAAAATTAGAACAAGAGGTAGATGAGCCAACTTCATCTGGAGTTTAGATAAGATCAACATGTAGACTCGCTAAACAGAGAGGAAAGAGAGATGTTCTAGTGTCACTAAACCCGTGTCCATCTATTTAAGTGTCTTTATTCTTCCATCCATCTAGCTTTCTACCACATCCCTCTTTTCAGCTTTTCTGACTAGTATAAGATTATTTATTATAGATAAACATTCTGTCCTGCCATTGATTTTAGTGGTGGGTAGGGGCAAAGTAAGATTTCAAGACAGACGAAGAGCCTCTCTAGAGCCTCCATTTGTTTCAGAGATAGGCCAAATCCCATATTGGGATTATATCTATTTTATACAAACTCCAGAGGGTGCGGACATGGACTGATGATGTAGGAGATGGGTGCAATAACCCCCACCTTCTTTCTCAATGATCTGAGCAGGTTCATATGATTTTGATAGACATCAAACTGGTCGGACACATCAATGGGAGACACAAGTTGCCTTAAAATGTCACCTGCATCAAGAACTTTCCACAAATGTGTGAACATCAAGCATTACCCAAATGCTAAATTGTGTTAAAAAAAAAAAAAAGATCAGTAGGCCCGGCTGCCTAACCTTGTAAAAAGACATGACTGAAAACTGAGCTGTGTCTGTTGGAGGCAGCTGCTGACATATTCCCATATTCCTCAGATAATATGTGATTTCTGGGAATCCATTAGAATCTGAAGAAACACAATGCACTTCCTTTGACTGTGGAGGACACATCCACATGGAAAACAGCCCAGGTCTTTCTTGACAATCTTCCTTTTGAACTGATAATACTATACTGTGCAATATTACAGTTGTGAGAATTCACAAGGTTGCAATACATCAATGACCATTGGAATGTAGAAAGTAACTGTATCATAGGCTGCATCATGGTAAGTGACACCTGTAGCTATAACTACAAGAGGAAAATATAAGGTGGCGTATAAATGAAATTGCACTAAGAATGATCATTGTATTAGATTTAGCAGTATTCATTTAGACTTATTTTTTATCAGTGTTTTCTTTATTACTGAAATATGAGTGTTTCTCTGATTTGCTAGGAGTGATACTTTCATTCAATTGCTGTTGTATATTTTTTTATTTTATTCATTTGCACTGGTAATGATCGGATGTTTGAAATATACATAATGCTTGTCAGGATTGCAGACTTATCAAAGTATTTTTGTTGTTTGAGGAATCATCTGCTGTAACAAAATAAATCCATGGTCATAATGCATCATTGTCTATGGCTTTGCAATGACAGTGTTGTATATGGGTAGAACTGGACAAAAGTCACAATGAAACAAAAAATGTTTGCTATGTATGCAATGACAATACAAGTTGTAAAACCAGAAAAGTGAGCATTGTACAAGCGCTCTTGTTTGCATGTGGGGAAGAGACAGGGGTGGAATATTTAACCAAAAAGAGACCTATCATCAAATTATAGTATTTTCTAATGTATGTGATTAGTTTCTAATTGTAAAATAAATAAATAAGCAGCATCATTATTTTGTATTATTTCTGTAAGAACTACATTGTAACTGTAATCTCATCACAAATGTAGGAAAAACTCTGATATCTCTGCGGGGTGATAGTAGGGTATGGTCAAAATATCAGATCACCATAGGTTTTACATTTCTGACGGTATGGCAGTATTTTATATTTTTGGAATAATAAAAGTTATAAATATGCTTTATAAGTGGTGTATGACCATAGGGTGGCAACACATACAGTACCAGTCAAAGGTTTGGACACACCTACTCATTCAAGGGTTTTTCTTTATTTTTCCTATTTTCGACATTGTAGAATAATAGTGAAGACATCAAAACTATGAAATAACACATATGGAATCATGTAGT